AGGTCAAGTAAAAAAAAGTAAAAGGCACTCATTTAGGCTGGTTTTCTTAGTAGAGCCCGTCTTTTGCTTTAGATTCTGTTCTCCTCTTTTCCCCAAATCTTCCAAGTCCTCCCATACAGGCTAGCTTTCCTGGGTCTTCCAACCCCTGCCCTTTTATTTATTTATTTATTTATTTATTTATTTATACATACATTTATTTTGAGCCGGAGTCTTGCTCTGTCGCCAGGCTGGAGTGCAGTGGCGCAATCTCGGCTCACTGCAACCTCCGCCTCCTGGGTTCAAGCGATCCTTCCGCCTCAGCCTCCCGAGTAGCTGGGACTACAGGCGCGTGCCACCACACCCGGCTAATTTTTGTATTTTTAGTAGAGATGGGGTTTCATCATGGCGAGAATAGTCTCGATCTTTTGACCTCGTGATCCGCCCGCCTCGGCCTCCCAAAATGCTGGGATTACAGGCGTGAGCCACCGCGTCCGGCCCAGACAGGTTCTTCTGATCAGGCGATAGGAAACACACTGCCTCCTGCGGTCGCTCCTTTATCCCCGCAGCGGCACGTGCCGCAGCTGCAGGTGTTTAGTGCTGATCCCCTCCCCCCGAGTGCCTGCAGGTGTGGTTCACACGGTATCTCCCCCCAGCACACCGTGGGCGTTCGTTCCTTCCAACGACTTGCTCGGCGTCGCGGTTCAGGCGGTACACATAGAGCTGCGAGGTCCCGGCCACCAGGAGGTTGCGCTCGCTGTTGTTGAAGAAGTTGCAGTCCATGAGTTGGAGAAACCTTTTACCTCATTGACACAGCAAGCTGAGCATAAATATGTTATCAGAGAAAAGGATAGCCTTCTCCAACAGTGCCCTTAGCCCAGAGAAATCTGTCATTAATGACAGAGGTCAACATGTCATGGTTCTCAGGGCCAGGAAGATCATTTAGAGCCAGGAACTCCTCCAGAGGTATCCAAGGGCTAGCAAGCATCCCTGTGCCCACAGGTGAGGCTGGCCCTGCCCAGAGTCCCATGCTCAGCCCTGTGCTGGAAAGTTCTGTGTGCCCTAGGTATGTCACATCCAGACAGACTGGAGAGATGCTAGACTGGGGGAGCTCACTGGAGGTTTTTAATAGATGTTAAAATATATTTCTGTCACCTGTGCCTCACTTCTCAACTTCTCCTCTACCAACAGTCATAATCACCATGACTGCAACTCAGAGTCGCTACCCCGACCCTCCCCAAGTGAGAAAGCTCTGTCACGGCCTTCCTTGTCATTCCCCACTCTTGCAGCACAGCTGGCCCTCTGTACCTGTGGGTTCCACATCTATGGATTCAACTGACCATGGATTAGAAATACCCAGAAAAGAAATTACATCACTACTGAACACATATGGACTTCTTTTCTTGTCATTATTCCCTAAACAATACAGCATAACTATTTACATGGGATTTACATTGTGTTAGGTATTATAAATAATCTGGAGATGATTTAAAGTATACAGCAGGTTATAAGCAAATGCTAAGCCCTTTTATATAAGGGACTTGAGCATTCTTGGATTTTGGCATCCAAAGAAGATCCTGGAGTCAATCCGCCAAGGATACCGAGGGCCAGCTGTATTGTCCTAACACCTCTGTGCTCTCCATCTTCCACGTGGTGCCATCATCCTCTTCCTAAAATCTCTTCCATGCATTTTATAGTTTCTTCCTTGGCTGCAGTTCCCCATCTGTTCACATATGGTGTCCATCTTTTCCATTAGATCTCAACATGTTTGTCATAGTTGTTTAAAGTTTTGTTGGATAGTTCCAACATCTGGGCCATGCCTGGGGTTGGTTCTGCTGTTTGCTCTGTCTCCTAACAATACACTGGGTTTTCTCTCGCCTTTTCCTGTAACTTTTGTAGAGAAAAACAGTAGAGATTGGGAAAAATGATATTGATGCCTAGAAATGGCATGCCTCTTGTCTTGTACAGACATCACAGCAGTGTGAGGCTTGGAGTTCATCTGGCCAGTGGTGAGCTGGACTTGGGTTTTAGGGTGGTGGTTGCTTTCTTTAAAAGTTTTATTGAGCTCACCTACCATACAACTGACCCATTTAGAGTAGACAATGATTATTTTTTTTGAGTTGGAGTCTTGTTCTGTCACCAGCTGGAGTGCAGTGGCACCATCTCAGCTCACTGCAACCTCCGCCTCCTGGGTTCAAGCGATTCCCCTGCCTCAGCCTCCCGACTAGCTGGGACTACAGGTGCACTTCACCATGTCCAGCTAATTTTTTGTATTTTAGTAGAGACGGGTTTCACTATGTTGGCCAGGATGGTCTTGATCTTCTGACCTTGTGATCCACCTGCCTCGGCCTCCCAAAGTGCTGGGATTACAGGCATGAGCCACTGCGCCCGGCCGCGTTCAATGGTTTTTAATATAGTCAAATATAGATTTGTACACTCATCACCAAAATCAATTTTAAAATATTTTTATCACCAAGAAACCTCAGCTGTCACCCGCCACTCTCCCGACCCTACCCAGGCCCTGACAGCCCCTCCTCTACTTTCCCTTTGCTTTCTATCCTGCTCCTTCGTAGAAATGGACTCATTCATACAGCATGCAGCCCCCTGCACCTGGCATCCTTCTCTCGGTACTCTGCTGCCCAGCCTCATCCTTTCTAGCACGTGTCAGTGCTTCATTCCTCCTTATCGCAGCACAGCACTGGGTGTCTGTGGGGTGGGGGTTTCTCCCTGCTCCTGCTCCATCCTCAGCTCTCCTGTCCCTGCTTGGCTGTCCCCGGAGGAGGCCTCCCTCCAAACTCTGGCTTGGCATTTGGTGTTTACCTTCTGGTGGGGGCTGGGGAGATGCCAGATTCTCCTGGTCCAGTCCTGCTCCGGGTCAGGCCCGCTGAGCCTGGGCCTGAGACTTCCTCAGTGCTCCGGGGGCCCCCTCCAGGCCACCACACCCCACCTAGCAGAGTGCTGGGGAAGGCAGCCTGTGGCTCCCAGTGGCAAGCCAGGCAAGCAGGGAATGGCCCAGCCCTTCACCGCTGGGGAGCTGAGATGGAGGAGCACAGTGGCACCTGCACACCTGCACCAGGAGGGTGCACTCTGGTTCTCACCCCACCCCAATTTCTCACCAAAGCCCAATGGAAGCCCCATGTTTCTGGGGCTTCCAGGCCCTCTGAACTGTGGGGCGAGCACACGGACGTTGCTCGTGGAGCCTGTTAGCCTTTGGGCCACTATCCTTCCCACTTTAGGAGCCAGCTCGCCCCTGCTGTGCTTTGCCAGAAGTGGAACAGGTCGCATCTCCTGTCTTGGAGGACAGTCCCTGTCCCTCCTTGGAAGTTGGTTGGAACTCTGTAACCACCAGGCCTGTGCCCATTGCTGTCACCCTATCTGTGGCACTCAGAGACAGCTATTTGGGGCAGGGTCTAGCTGTTTGTGTCCCTAGAGCCAAGAACAATGCATGGTATGCAGTTGACACTTAATATATGTGTACTGCATGAAAGAGAACTGATAAATTTGTGATTCTTAAACAGGGATGCATAGCAAGATTTCTGAGGAGTGAACCCCCCGCCGCATCTCCACCCCACCACATCTGCCCCGCCACATCTGCCCCGCCGCATCTCCGCCCCGCCGCATCTCCGCCCCGCCGCATCTCCGCCCCGCCACATCTGCCCCGCCGCATCTCCGCCCCGCCGCATCTCCGCCCCGCCGCATCTCCGCCCCGCCGCATCTCCGCCCCACCTCACTTGGAAGCACTGTCAGTCTTTGATTCAAGCCAGGAGTCCCTGGGTCAGGCTCCCTCAGCACGTGTACCCCACAGAGTGAACCGCCTGCAAGGCCAAGGAGATTTCCCTCTGTTGTACGCCTCCCTCTGGGCACCCACCCTGGAGCTCTCTGTGCCCTGGGTCTAGCCTGCACCCAGGGATGTGAGCCCCACTGGCCTCCCTGCAGCAGGCCTCACCCCAGCATGAGTGCCCCCAGCAGCTCAGGGAGGGTAACCGCTTGGACATATATAGCCAGGTATCCACTGTGTTCAAACAGGGCCCCGTGGTGCAAAGGGGAGTTGCTAAAGATAAGACGATCAGGTTGAGGGCTCTCCAATGTGGTCCGAATCAGCAGAGAATTCTGAGTCACCCATCAGGAAGTTTTCAGTTCAAACCTGGCCTACCAGAGTGACATAAAAGTATATGTTTGTCAAAGCATAAAAATAAAACATACAGCAATATTCCATAACTTTAAATGCAGTCATGTGCCACACAGGCCCCCATCTGCACATTCACCCTGGGCCCTACAGATGTAGGGAGGGCCCGCCGTCCACAGCTGGCCGCCAGCGAGGGCCGGCTTGCCTGATTCAGGCACCACCCTCAGCGCTGGGTGCTCTGAGATCCCGAGTTACAGATGAGGGTCTCAAGGTGCATCAAGCCCATCATATGGACCACTGGCCCGTCAGTGAGCACAAGACTCTAGAGCGAGGCCCACTCTGGCAGTCTGACCTGAGAGCCTGAGAGGGCAACACCAGGACACCCCAGGCTTCCCAGCCTCCCCGTGGCACCCTCCCACTTTGCAGCTTCCTAGAGCCCCTTGTACTGTACTGGGTTGTCCCTGTCCCAGGCACTCCCTGGAACTCTCTGGAACAGGCTCCTCTCATATCCATTTGGCCTATGGCCATGGTTCTCTGGCTGACCAGACTTTTTTAAATACTCTGTGTGAAATATTATTTTTCCTTTTTTAAAAAAAAATTTAGGCCAGGCACAATGGCTCACGCCTGGAATCCCAGCACTTTGGGAGGCTGAGGCAGGCGGATAACCTAAGGTCAGGGGTTCAAGACCAGCCTGGCCGACATGGTGAAACCCTACCTCTACTAAAAATACAAAAATTAGCCGGGAATGGTGATGTACCCGCCTGTAATCCCAGCTATTCAGGAGGCTGAGGCAAGAGAATTGCTTGAACCCAGGAGGTGAAGGTTTCAGTGAGCCAAGATTGCACCACTGCACTCCAGTCTAAGCAACAGAGTGAAAATGTGTCTCAAAAGAAAATTTTTTTATATGAAATGCTTCATGAATTTGCATGTCACCCTCCCCGCAGGGCCATGCTAATCTTCTCTGTATCATTCCAATTCTAGTATACATGCTGCCAAAGCAAGCACGAAATATTATTTTTCAAAAGAATCGGAACCCAAGAAAATACATTTAACTCAACTGTGCTAACACAGTCTGGTGTTTGGCAGGTCCCCAGGCCACCCTTTATAAACGTTGACTCCCCCATTTGTAACCAAGACCGCTCAGACTACCATGGGTCAGGGAAGGTTACATTCATCCACCCATCTACACTGGCCCCAGTCCCCACTTGCCAGATCAAGAGGACTGTGGCTGCCCTTTCCAGGAGAACCTGCAGAGAGTAAATTGTGACAACACTTCACTGAAGGCACCAGATAGCAGGAGAGTTTAACGCCAGCCTAACTCAGAAGTGATGCCTGCCTCGCCTGGCTTGCCACTGAGAGCCACAGGCTGCTCTCCCCAGCAAGGCAGTGGGAAGTAGCAAGTGTGTTCTAGTCCTTGAAGTCATGGTAATACCCAGGGCCCAGAGACAGGGCAACACCAGGGCACCCCGGCCTTCCCAGCCTCCCCAGCACCCTCCCACTCTCCACTTCCTGTCCTGGCCTCTGCCTCTCCCTGCACACATGGCAGGTGGAACGTCCAGTTCTTTCTGAAGAAACTCCATCTTCTATCCACCAAAAGGAACATCATATAAAAATACCAGGGTCTGATGTCATTCATTTTTCCAAATTTAGGGGTTTAGTTGAAAATAACACTACCCTAGTTAAAGGCATCAGCCTAGTTCAAGAGCCCGATCAGCTCCCTGGGTCCCCTTCCCCAGGGACTTCTCAGCATTTGGAGAGGATGAGACCCTCCTGTCTTCTTCCTCCGTGCAGCCCAGAAAAGGGCGGGCGAAGAAGAAACACCCGTCACCCATGTCCCATGTTCCAAGCGTGTGTAAGCACCAGCGCTCAAACCTGGGCAGTGAGCCTGGAATCCTCACTACACAAGCATGAAACAGAAGCAGGTGTTCTGAGAAGCAACACTGTGATCAAAGGCACAGATGAGACAGCAAGACAAAGAGGAAAGTGGGCAGACAGGAGTGTCTGGGTAACTGAGCTCGCTCAAAGCACCAAGGTCGTGAACTCCATCACTGCCTTCAACCCAGAGGAGGGGCCCTGTCCTTGGCCTACCCCCTGCCTGCCCCCATAGGAAGTACGGGGGCCACGGGCATGTGCCCACAGCTCCTAGATGGCACTCAGCCCTCAGACCCCAGGAATCCCTGCCCATACCTCCCCAAACCTCCTTCTAGGGCCCCTTCCTCCTGCAGGATGGCCTGGGATGGCTGTGGGTGGGGGAGGACTGACGTGCCCACAGGCATGTACAGGAGACCCGTCCCTGTGTGGGACAGAATGGGAGGTGGGCCGAAAGGCAGCTGTTGAAAGTGAGGACTGCAGACAGAGACCAGCCCCCACTGCCATGCCCTGAGGCCAATCAACGAGGAGTCCAAGAATTCTACCAATTTCTTTTTCTTTTCTTTTTTTTTAAGACAGGGTCTCACTCTGTTACCCCAGCTGGAGTGCAGTGGCAACGATCATAACTGACTGCAACCTCCGCCTCCTTGGATCAAGCAATCAATCCTCCCATCTCAGCCTCTGGAGTAGTTGGGATTACAGGCATGTACCGCCACGCCTGGCTAATTGTTTAATTTTTTGTAGAGACAGAGGCCTCATTATATTGCCCAGGCTGGTCTCCAAGTACTGGGCTCAAGCAATCCTCCGTCAGCTTCTCAACGTTTTAGGATTATAGACATGAACCACTGTGCCCAGCCTAGCCCAAGGATTCTAAACTGGAACATGGCTTTCCAGATACCACAGTGTATTTTTTAAGAGAATGTGTCCTCTACGCCTTTTTAAAGTTTGGTTTGTGACTTGTGTGCATTTGGACACACTACATCACAAACAGCCTCACCCAAGGAGAGTGAGGGCCATGGAACCGGAAGGCAGGAGGCCCAGAGCCTGGAAAGCCCCAGGCCAGGCTGACAGGGTCAGGGCTTCACCTGCCAGCTCCCAGCAGGGGGTGACCACACACACCAGGGAAGTCAGGGCTGGGGTTCAAAGAGAGGCCAAGGCTGCAGAGAGACTAGGAGCCATTTTGGGAAAGAAACGTGAAGTCATGTTTTGCACAACAGAACTGTCCCCACCAGCCGGGGAGGCCTTGGTTCATTCCTCAGGGAATCTCTTGTGTCCTGCGGGGCCGGCCTCTGATGAGAAGGAAGGGAGACAAGCTTTGCAGGGGAAGGTTTCCTCCCAGTCTCCTCACTCCTCCAGCACAGCGTTTCTCCAAAGTCCATTCCGCGGGCCCCAATCCCCACAGACAGCGCAGAGCAAGCAGGGGCCCAGAAACCAGCAGATCGGCTTCTCCCTTGTCAAATCCAAGTGACAACAGACTTCCTGAAGCCACGCTGACACCTGCTTTCTGGCTCAATCAGACCCTTGGACTTAAATTCCAGACCAAAGACTAGCACTGATGGGTGGCTATTTCAGCAAAGGACCAAAACTTCTAAACTAGACACTTTCTTTTAAACCACTTGATAGCTGCATTTCTTTTTTTTCTTTTTCGTTCCCCCACCCCCCCCCCCCCCACCCCCAGATGGAGTCTCAATCTGTCACCCAGGCTGGAGTACAGTGGCGCAATCTTGGCTCACTGCAATCTCCACCTCGCGGGTTCAAGCAATTCTCCTGCCTCAGCCTCCTGAGTAGCCGGGATTACAGGCACCTGTCACCACACCCGGCTAATTTGTGTATTTTTAGTAGAGACGGAGTTTCACCAGGTTGGAAAGGCTGGTCTCGAACTCCTGACCTCGTGATCTGCCTGCCTCGGCCTCCCAAAGTGCTGGGATTACAGCGCTACAGCGCGCCGCCGATGGCTGATTTCTTACAGAGACCAAAGGTGGAGGAAGGGCTGTTCCAGGGATGCACAGGCTCTCCGCTCGGGCTCCCCACACTAGATGGGTTAACTAGCATTCGTTGGAGTCAGGAATTAAGCAATGGAGGCAAACAGCCTAAACAGGGGTGTTTGAGGCCTCAGGAGAAGGTGACTGGGTAATCTCAGGCTCAAAGTTTGAAAGCGGAGCTCAGGGGCTGGGCTGTGGCCTTCTCATCACAGCCACACGCCTGTGTAGAGAGGTGTGGGGACCCACAAGGAGGCCGAGGAGCAGCACTGGGGTGAAGAGAGCAGTGGGAAGGCGGGGGACCTAAGGTTTAAAAAAAAAAAAAAAATCCGCCATTTGGAAACATTTGCAAAACTCCAGAAGAAAAACTTTTAAAAGTTCTCCACTCCCAAACACAAACATGCACACACACAATTAGGATTTTCCCAAAGTTTTCATCTATCTAAAAAGAAACTGCCAGTGCAAATTACAGAACATCGTCTCTTCCTCCCGTGGGGCGTTTCCACAGGCCTGGGAGGGAACGCAGAGGATACCACTGAGGTCCCAGCCTGAAGCGTTCACGCGAGGAAACTCCCGTAAAAGCCCTGACGCACGCACATTCTGACTGCATAGGCCAGAAAATCCGGCACTTTGGAGGCTGAAACGCTCTTGGGGGTCCCCCAGGACAACAACTTCCGTTAACAGTGGAGTCCGCTGAAGCGCAGAGCTAACAGAAAACAGCCAAAATTAAAATCCAAGTCACCCGACCGGGCATCGGCGGTCATTCCCTTCCACCACACAAAACTGGCCAGGAAGAGGGACTCTTGCGCGCCCTCCCAGACCGAAGGGCATTTCTTCGCTAATGCGCGAGGGAGAGGCTGCGTAGACCCGGCGCAGGGGGTGTTCATTTTCGGATCCAGGCCTGTAGTCACTTCAGCTAAACCCCGTTTCAAAGGGGTGGGGGTAGTCAGTGCGGAAGGGCCCCTGTATCTCCGGAGACGGAAACAGCAGGACTGGGAGGCCCTAAGCACGTGTGCCCTGGGTGCGGCTGGAGGGCAGAGGTCAGAGACCCCGAAAAGCTCCACCGCCGCGCTCCACGGCCGTCTCTCCGCTAGGCTGGACTCAGCACGGGCGGCTACAGGGCTCCCCGCAGCGGCGCTGAGTCCTCGCGGGCCATGTCGGCTCCGCCGCCCCGACGCCCTGGCCCGACTCGCGTCTCCCTCGGGCAGGGCACCGCGAGGGGCAGCAAAACGGCGGTGTGGGCAGGCGCCGCGGTCCTTCCTGTCTCCTCCCCGTCCGCCCGGGGATCGTCCTTTTCCGCCCGGCTCCAAGCAAGTGTCCCCCGACTGGCGCGCCCGCAAGTCCTCCCTCGGCTGCTCCTGACCTGGCAGCGGCGTCGAGCGGGGGCGGCGGGGCGGGGCTCACGGCCATTGGCGGGCGGCGGGACGGGGGCGGGGGCGTGGAGGGTCGGTCCCTGGGCGCTGGGGGCCGGCCGCAGTCGCTGCCTTCATCCACAGAGCCAGTGCCCAGCGCAGAGCCGCGCCCGCGATGAGGGAGATCGTGCACATCCAGGCGGGCCAGTGTGGGAACCAGATCGGCACCAAGGTGGGCCGGGCGCCGCACTGGGTTTCCCCGCGGGTGGTCGGCTGGCGGTCCCCGGGTCTCCTGGCGCGAGCCCCTGTCGGGGCGCGCACCCGCTCCGGCGCCCTGGGTCCTCCGAGCCGGATGCGGACCCGCGCGGGCGGCAGGGAGGGAGCACCCAGGGCGTGGCCGGCCGGGGACCCTGTACCCCTCGCTCCCCACCCCCATCCCAGCTGGGAGCGGCCGCTGGCGGCTCAGGCGCGCCTGGAATTCGGCCGCCCGGGAGCCCGGGGTGGGCGCGGGTGGGGACGCCCCGGGCTCCGGGTTCTGAGCGTCTGTTTCCCCGCCTTGCCCTGCCCAAGTTTTGGGAAGTGATCAGCGATGAGCACGGTATCGACCCGGCCGGAGGCTACGTGGGAGACTCGGCGCTGCAACTGGAGAGAATCAACGTCTACTACAATGAGTCATCCTGTGAGTAGCGAGGCCGCCGCGCCCTGCCCGGCCGGGACCCGCGTGGACGCTCGGGCACGGCCTTCGCGGGCGGCGAGTTTGCTTCGGGAAAAGTTCTCCCGGGATGTAGCAGGATGCCGGGCCACTCCCTTCGCTCCTCCGGGGCGGGAAATCCGCTGTCAGTTTATTCAAACAGCTGGATTTGGCCTATCCCGAAGTCTGAGCGCTTGAACGGGACCACCCGTTAGTGTTCTGAAATCAACGCAGCAGTTCCTGCCCAGCCTTCTCTGTCTAGCTGGGCTCGGTGGCTCACGCTGTAATCCCAAAGTCCTGGGAGGCCGGGACGGGAGGATCATTTGGGCTCAGGAGTTCGAGATCAGCCTGGGTAGCATAGGAGACACCCCCCCCCCCCCGCTGCCACCGCCTCCTCTACAACAATTTTTAAATTAGCCGGGCTTGGTGGCGCGCACCTGTAGTCCCAGTTACTGAGAGCTTGAGCGCAGAAGATCGAGGCTGCAGTGAGCTGTGATCGTGCCACTGCACTCCAGCCTGGGTGACAGAGAGAGACCCTGTTATAATAAATCAGAGCGTTTTCTGAGAAAAATAAAGCTTTTTTTTTTTTCCAGTTTAAAATTTTTTCCAGTTTAAAATTTCTTATTGGGGATTCTTGGCTAAAAGTTTGAAAAACGCTGTCTTAAGTACTTTTGTGGTCCCTTGCAGACCTCCCTGGAAGTTGAAACTGCAGGCAGTTCTGAGCAACTAGTGGAGTTTGGTAAAATTTCCAGGCTATGATTTATCCAAGTTTAGAAATAATATCATTCCTGTCCTGAATATCTACATATATATATTGGGACTACACTTATACATTAATTCAATAATTTTTATTATAAAAGCAGTGCATGTCCTTCACAAAACAACAAAAAGCAAAAACATAGAACTCCCAGAAAGTGGCAGGTGCTACCCTTGCACACACATGCGATATCTCCTGGGAGATATACTTTTGGTTTATTGGAGGCTCCACTTTGGAGACACTTTCTGCTTGTCCACACAAGAGCTGGGAAGTGCAGTATGCATGAATCACTAGGTTTTATTCATTTAAGCAACAATGACAAAAGGCTGGGAACATCAAGTAATGGAAGATTAAATTTCTAGAGGACATTAAGGACAATTCCAGTATACACTGCACTTCCTGGTAACCCCTCGGCCCAGCTTGGATACATTCATTTTGTTTTTTTTTTTTTTTTTTTGTATTTTTAGTAGAGACAGGGTTTTGCTATGTTGGCCAGGCTGGTCTTGAACTCCTGGCCTCAGGTGATCCACCTGCCTCAGGCTCCCGAAGTGCTGGGATTACAGGCATGAGCCACTGCATCCAACCTGGTACATCCATTTTCGATCTGGGCATGTGCACTGCAGGACAGGAGTTGATGAGTGGGTCCTATTTGGAATCATATTAACCTTGTCCTCATTGGGAACGAGTTCTAGCCCAGTTGGCATGAAAATGACACACAAGAACACTCTGACTCAAAATGAGAATGACTCTGGGGAAACAGAGCCAGTGGAGTGCTCCCAGTAACAAGGTGCTCAGATTGCACATGGGCACAGGTATGTGTATGCGTGGGGGAGGTGTCACAAAGTGGGGAATTTCATCCAAACCTGGCAATTTGCTGTAATAAATAGTTTATTTCCATGGTGCTAAAATCATAAAACTTCCTAACAGGAAAGAGGTATCAGGGTGAGCTGGAAAATACAGTAGGCAGGAAGTTAGTGGACTTGATTTCTCATCTTGCTGCTTCCTGGAACTTCCTCTGCCAGATCATGCCTGGGCTGGTTCTTCATTCCAGTGTTGGTTCTGGGATTTTTTTTTTTTTTTTAAGAGACAGGGTATCACTCTGTAGCCCCAGGCTGGAGTGCAGTTGCACAGCCATGGCTCACTGCAGCCTTGACCTCCTGGGTTCAGGTGATCCTCCCACCTCAGCTTCCAGAGTAGCTGGGACTAGAGGTGCACACCACCTTAGCTAATTTTTTTTTTTTTTTCCCAGAAATAGGGCTTTGCTCTCTTGCCCAGACTGATCTTGAACTCCTGGGCTCAAGCAGTCTGCCCACCTCGGCTTCCCAAAATGCCGAGATTACAGGCTTGAGCCAGTGTGCCCAGCCAATTCTGTGATTCTAAGAAAGTGCCTGTACCCTCTCTGAAAAGACCCTGGTTGATCCATCCCAAGCAGCTATAACTGGTGGAACTTGAAAGGGGAAAGTCCATTATTTCAGAAACCTGAAAGTAACTCTTGTGGGTGGCTCTTTTCTCCTCTAGCTCAGAAATATGTGCCCAGGGCCGCCCTGGTGGACTTAGAGCCAGGCACCATGGACAGCGTGCGCTCCGGGCCTTTTGGGCAGCTTTTCCGGCCTGACAACTTCATCTTCGGTACGTTCCATCTTTCTGACGTTCTTCTTTAAAAAAAAAAAAAAATCAGTTTATATGCCAGGTTTAAAGCATCACGGGTCATACAAAAACTGTGAATGGAAATCAGCAGTCCCCAGCCCCACCCCTCCCGCCCCCAGCTGGGTTCATCACAGGGAACAGTTTTTTTAAAATCTTGACTTTTTTTTTCCTTTTTTTTTTTTTTTTTTTTTCTGAGACGGAGTTTCGCTCTTGTTACCCAGGCTGGAGTGCAATGGCGCGATCTCGGCTCACCGCAACCTCCGCCTCCCGGGTTCAGGCAATTCTCCTGCCTCAGCCTCCTGAGTAGCTGGGATTACAGGCACGCGCCACCATGCCCAGCTAATTTTTTGTATTTTTAGTAGAGACGGGGTTTCACCATGTTGACCAGGATGGTCTCGATCTCTTGACCTCGTGATCCACCCGCCTCAGCCTCCCAAAGTGCTGGGATTACAGGCTTGAGCCACCGCGCCCGGCTAAATCTTGACTTTTTTGGTAGGAAACGACCTCTGTATCTCTAAATGAAATTCTTCTACTGATAGTTCTTGATTAACAAGCAAAAACCAAGAAACAATTTTAGACATCAGTTTTTTTCTCCCTGTCATTATAAAGTTATTTTGCCTTTTGTTTTTGGTTCCTATATTGGTTTTATCAGAATTAGGTAAATCCTTTTTTCCTTGCTTCTTCCACCTAAAAAATGATGGTAAAACCGATCTTTCTGCAGACTTCTAAAGAAAATTATATAAAATTAAATGAAGTGGTACCATTAGTGTTATCAAGTAGAACCTACAAGATAGGTGGCAGATTTGGAAGTTTCCCACGTGACTGTTTTATTGCTGGAGACCACATATCTATTTACATTATTGCAAAAAAAAAAAAACCTCACCCAACCAAACGTATTTCCAATACCTGGGAAAGGCAGTGTTTTCCAAGAAAATGTCAGCATTTGAAGGCTGATTCTAGCTTAAAGGCACTACAATGTAGGCATCAAATACATCATGAAAAATCTACATTCCAACCCCTTTCTCAAAAAGCACCAACCAGGAAGAGATAGTTTAATTGAGGGTAACAGGCTATCCCATTATCTAAACCATTCCAGAGAAAAAATAATGGGAAACTTCCAACATTTCCAATGAGGCTAGGGTAGCTTCTGCTAGAACATACACGTGAAAGCTCTATATCAAACTCACTTAAAAATATAGATGCAAAAATCCAAAATAAAATATTTAGAATATCAAATGCAGTTGTGTTTTTAAAAAATATTAATAGCACATTGTGACCAAGTAAGACTGAGAAGCAGATAGTGTAATGGTTAGGAGTCTGGCTGTGCTGCCATACTCCCTGGGTTTAAATCTTGGCCCTGCCACTCACTAGGTGGACTGAGACTTATTTAATTTATTTGTGACTTAATTTCCTCATTGTAAGTGGGACTGTCTACCTTTTAGTGAGATGTGAGGATTAAATAAATACTTAGAATGTCTAGTACAAAATCAGTGTTTGATAAATATTAGCAACATCCCAGGAATGCAAGGATGGTTCAACATTAAGAAGCCTACTAATAGATTAAAGACAACATTTTAATAGATGCCCCCAAAAGTGTTTTTTTTTTTTTCTGACTCCCAGCAGGAAACAATTTTTCTTCTTTTTGACAGAGTCTCACTCTGTCTCCAGGCTGGAGTGCAGTGGCGCAATCTTGGCTCACTACAACTTCTGCCTCTGGGGTTCAAGCGATTCTCCTGCCTCAGTCTCCCAAGTAGCGAGGTCTACAGACGTTTGCCACTACACTTGGCTAATTTTTGAATTTTTAATAGAGATGGGGTTTCACCATGTTGGCCAGGATGGTCTGAATCTCTTGACCTCATGATCCACCCTACTTGGCCTTCCATAGTACTAGGATTACAGGCGTGAGCCACTACGCCAGGCCAGGAAACAATTTTTTTTAAAAAAGATAAAGTTTTGGATGTGTTCCTGATTTGCAGAAGACAAAAAATTTCTTTGTAAGTTGGAAGTAGAAAGAAACTTCCTTTATTTACAGATTATCTACCAGAAACCCATGGCAACATTATACTGCCTGGTGAAACATTAGAAGTGTTCCCAGCAGAATTAGGTATAAGAAGCAAATGTCCATTTTCTCTATAATTATTCCATGTTCTGAAGGCTTTAGCCAGTGCACAAAAGCCAGAGAAGGAAAAGATGCAAATCTTGTAAAGGAAAAGACAAAACTGTTATTTGTAGATGAAATTATTCTCTTGGAGTTTCCAGATAGGCTGTCAGCTGAAAAATGACTAGAACTTACAAGACTTCAGTAAGGCAGCCAGACACAAGATAAAAGTATTCAGAAATTCATAGTTTTGCTCTCAGGCGACCAATCCTTCTGATTAGCCTGGAACTGGGAGGAGGTGTTCCCCAGGATGTGAGACTTTGAGTGCTAAAACTGTCAGGGTCCCAGGCAAACTGGAACAGAAGAATCACCTTAAAAGCAATAATCAGTTATAAGATACATGGGGGAACACATCCTATTCACAATTGTAATAAAAGCTAGAAATACCTGGGGACAAAATGTCCTGGTGACTAGAGGTGAGAGGCAATTAAAACAAAATATTTTTTCTCCCACCAGATTGGCCAGTATTTTAGAAGCTGCTAAGAGCTAGTGTTGGTGAAAGTGTTTGGGAAAATAACAGCTGTTCAGAAAACTACTTTTAACAGATTGAGCAAATCAATAATTTCCATCCAAGAGTTCCAGTTCAAGGAATCTGTTCTGCAGAAATGCTCACATATGGAGGTTGCAGATTGGCCTCCAGAACAGCTGAATCCATTCGCACGCCCCTCTTGCCCTTACCACCACCACATGGTGTGTCATCCTTCAATTTGGAAGGACTGCTCTGTGAGCACTGTAGTGGACCTGACTTGGATAACATTAATACTCTGTATTGTGAGGAAGGAAAAAGGACCACCCCATTTTATACAGATCAGCACTGAACAACTCACTTACTCAGTAGGTATAGACTCAGCAGCCACAGTTTCTTTCTGGACCACATTCCCAGGTCACAGAGTTAACATAGCCAGGAAGACAGAGCACCACACCAGGAGAGGGAAACTGAGCAGCTGACCCTAGCTCTGCCCGTTGGTGGCATCAGTTCCCTTCTCTGAATGTCTTCACTTTATGGTCTGAAATGAAGGACCTCCAAGCATTTCGGTGTCGTAGACCCATGTAAGAATCTGCAGGAAGAAATGGCCCTATCACCCCACTTCCTTGTAGAATTCTGCCCAGTCGTTTCCCCTTGAGGTTCAGTGGATTTTTGGTAAGAATCTGAGTGGACTGCTAAGATATCTTGAGTCAGAATTACAGTTGCCTGAGTCTGCCATAGTCTCAGCAAGCTTTACCAGACACAATTCATGTATTTCTAACCAATACACCTTCTAGAAATCACACCTCTTAGATAGGCAATGTGTGCACACGGTGCGCAGCTGGAAAAGGCCACATAGTGAAAGCCCGCCTCCCTCGCCACCTGCCTCCCCCTGCAGGAGTGCTTCCTGAGATACGGAAACATTTCAAGCACATCTGTGAATTTTATAGATAAAGAAGATCTTAAAGTTTTACTTAAGTAAAATATATACCTTCTTCAAAGAAGGATATGAAACGGCAGTAAAAGACAGGCATAAACGTAGCAGTTTACAACATAGGGTCAACTGTGAGCTCAGCTGTAGCTGAGAATTAATTTTAGCTCTGAGTTTCTGGCAACTAAATCCAAAAAAGGAAGCACAGCAGGTGACACAGCTGACATTGTCTCATGAAGGGGAATATAACCTTTTAACATATTTAAAAGGGAGCTCTCCCTGCCATCCTGAATGACTTGTATTTATTTCTTTCTGATTTTTACTTTGCTTTGCTTTTATTTTTCAGCAAAAACTAATATAATCACATTCTTAAAAAGTTTAAAGCTAGAGTTAAAAAAAAATTTCATACGCTCTTCATGTTAGTATAATCATTGTTAGCACTGAGGTATTTTTTTCACATTTGTTTCTTTCTATTTACTGACTTTCATTAGTTGTAATCATGGTATCATTTATATCTTTTTCCATTGAACATTATATTATAAACCATATTTCATATTACTGTTTAGTTTCTAAAATACATAATTTTCAATAGCTCCATAATGTACAATTCTTTATGTAACTTTATAATGGCCAATAATCAGGAAGCTGTTTCTTTCCAACTTTTTGCTCTTTTTTTTTGAGACGGAGTTTTGCTCTTGTTGCCCAGGCTGGAGTGCAATGGTGCGATCTCGGCTCACCGCACCCTCCGCCTCCTGGGTTCCAGCAATTCTCCTGCCTCAGCCTCCTGAGTAGCTGGGATTTCAGGAATGTACCACCACGCCTGGCTACTTTTGTATTTTTAGTAGAACAGGGTTTCTACCTGTTGGTCAGGCTGGTCTCAGACTCCCAACTTCAGGTGATCCGTGTGCCTTGGCCTCCCAAAGTGCTGGGATTACAGGCGTGAGCCACCACACCTAGCCAACTTTTGCTCATAAAAGGAATATTGAGGCCAGGTGCGGTGACTCATGCCTGTAATCTCAGCACTTTGGGAGGACAAGGCGGCAGATCATGAGGTCAAGAGATTGAGACCATCCTGGCCAACATGGTGAAAACCCATCTGTACTAAAAATACAAAAATTAGCTGGGCATGGTAGCGCATGCCTGAAGTCCCAGCTACTTAGGAGGCTGAGGCAGGAGAAGTGCTTGAACCCAGGAGGCGGAGGTTGCAGTGAGCCAAGATCGTGCCATTGCACTCCAGCCTGGCAATAGAGAGAGACTCCGTCTCAAAAAACAAACAACAACAACAAAAAAAACCAAAGGAATATTGAACATCTTCTTAAATTTGTATATTCCTGACTTTGACTTCAGAATAGATTCTCAAAAAGCAAAATTACTGGGTCAAAGAGTGAGGAGATACAAGCCCTTTTTACACACTTCCAATTGAATTA